ACATTTCCCTGAAGATTTGGGCTTTTTACTCAAAATGTTTGCTAATTTACCCTTCACTTAGCAACTCATGCATAACTACATACTTACACATTGGATTGCTAAATTAATTTAGATGTTCTGTAGATTATTTTATTCAAATCTTTGGAGCACAGAGTGATGTAGTGTCCCATCTCCCAGAGGACTATCTCATTTGTGTCCTCATGTTTATCACATGACTAACTTGCATAGTCTTCTTCTAATTGCTTATAACATATGCAGGAGCAACAAGACAAATTATCAGTATTCTTTTTTTTTTTTTTGGAAAAAACATTAAAAAAGCCAAAGAACTTTACATTACACAAATCAGACAACAAGGCAAGAAGCAGACTCTAACTTTATGTTTGTTCATAATTTGTTAGTGTTCCTTTTATTAGCAAATTAAAAATGTGATTTACATTCAGTAAAAACTGATTTAATAATTAATATTATATCTCAAGAGGACTGAAGTGATTGAGCTTGGTCACTCAGTGGGTCTTGTTTTCACTTCTCATCTTTTTTTTTATGTTGTTGACCCACTTTTATCCCAAGTATAACAAACATCTGAAGGGGAGGGCACCCGAAGACAGAAGAAAACTGTATTTTTATGTAAATGCAAAAAAAAATAAAAAATAAAACTTCTGTAGCCATGACAACAGTCTCCTGAGTGGATTTCTTCCACCAAGCGAACCTCTGGATCCAGTGCACTTAAGAAATATGTTTCAAAAAGAGAACCTGAGAAGCTTTTTAAAGAATGATGTATAATTTATTTGTATTTTTCTCCTGCTTCAGAGCCTCTTGAAAGAGGGTCCTGTGTGAGACGTGTTCTGAATCTGTCAGACTGCAGCAGTAATGCAGTCACACTCCCCACATGTGTTTGTTCTCAATGAGATTGACCCTTTTTAACATATACCCAGCTGTTCGGTGCCATAGGGCAGCGTTTAAAATCTCTTCCACACACTTGAAAAGAAACATTCATAAACAAAACCACTTAGCGTCTCATTTTAATGTTAGGACCATACTAGATGTTACAGTAGCTCACTGTACTAGGTGACAATGAACTAACATCAAAAAACCCTCAAGATTTGAGGTTTTGGATTTTTTGGAATTTCATTTGGATTGATATCTTCACCAAACTTTTCAGAGACACCCATCTTCCAACAGTTTGGTGGCAGATCTTTTCAACTTTGCAGCAATATTTACAGTTTTCAGTGTGTTTCGGTTGCAGTCAGCTAACATTGTTAGCATTGCCAGGTTAGTGCTGCTGAGTCGTAAAAATGATTAGAAGAATAATAAAATAATGTTGGAGCCTGACAGGTAACATTAGTTCCACAGAACAGTGGTAGGATTAAAACATTGCAATAAGTATTATTTGGAGACAAGCTATAAACATTTGCATATTTAACCTGTTAAGTTAATATGGGAAACTTATGAGCAAACAGTTTCTGTACAAATCAGATACAGAATAACATTATCCTTCATTTGTATTGTCAGTGTTTATGGCCACCTGGTGAATTTAACTCCAATTGTCAGTGTCTTTTAGCTCTGTTTTTGGTCTTTTTGGTCTTTATGCGGCGTGCTAAATACTCTATGACAGTCAGGTAATAGAAAACATCATCATCAACAGCACATTAACACACACAATTGTTTATTGATATGCTTATATGCAACAAAAATAAGAAAAAGGGACAAACATGCTTCGAGCTGGCTGCTGGGCAGTACAGGAAAAACTGTCGGGGTTGCGTGCCCTAGTAGTTCACCTGGTAGAGTTGGTGCCCCATATACCAAGGCCACCTGGAGATGTCCTATTTAATCAAAGCAAAAAGCCTAAACTGAGGGGCACAGGTAAGAGACTCTATTTACATATAAATATTGATTATAGCCACTTTAAATTTACTGTAAAGAATAGTGTTGTGTGCCCTACTGGAAACAGCTTTATGAAGAATATGTTGGGGCCAAGGACATACAAGGTGAATTTCAAAAATTTCAACTAAACTTTTAAAAGCAGTTATTTAGAAGTCTTAACCAAGGTTAAATTAAAACTTAATATACTGACTCAGATGACATAGTAGTACCACTCTCTGCACTCTTTCATCACAGTGAAATATAGGGTGAAATAACTAGGACGCATTATCCTAACATTACCCAACAAACTGGGACCTTTTTTATGAATGAATTGTTTACAAAAAAAAACACTTTTGTTTGGTTTACTTTCAAAATGTGTGAAATTAAACATTATTTTTTTAAAGTAAGCTTTAAAATCAAGGTTTAACTGTTTTAGTGTTAAGCGAGTTAAAATAATTTCTTCTGTTAATGGTAAAAAGAGATTTTAGATCAGCTTTTCATACCTGCAGAATGAACACAGAGAATATTGTAAGGACAGGAGAAAGAAAGTCATTATCTTATTGTATCTGTGAGTCAGTAGATGTAAATCATATTTTCAGGCCTAAGAGATAAGATTTTCATCTCATCTCGGAGGCCTGTAGTTGCCCACAAAAGCCATCTATGCCACGGTTGTCTCACAGCTTGGGGATTACACCTGGTTACTACTGATCCCATATGGTTTTAAGCCTCAAAAGAACAATAATGTATCACTGGTCCATGTTCCCTCTGTTAATGAGAATGAAAACAATGATCATGTAATGTTAATGCAGTTAAAGTGACTCCCTCTGTGCCATTATTAAAACATTTTAATTATTAAGTGTCTAATGGTCACTGCTAATTCACTTAGCTTCCTGTGAGTGTGACAGGGACCATACCTCTCGGTTCGTCAGAGAGGTCCCAAAAGCAATTTACTTCTTAGCATTTCTCCTAAAGGTCTGCTCAGTGTCCCTGCCTGTCAACATTTAACACTTAAGTCAAGCTGTCCCGGTATGATACGTATTGACAAATTGGGTTCATATGAATCATTTAGGCTCACCTTTTATTTGGCCTTTAGTTGTAAAGGAAAGACATTTGGCATCACGCTTTGAGTACAGTTATTGGCTAAATTGACTTCCTACAGATATCTTTATCACGTACTAATAACGTAGCTTCATCGGTGAGCAGTGCTGCTCAGAGTGGAAGTTGAACCGTATGAGTTATCACTTCTTTTACATGGCTGGTTGAGTTGGAAGGGGTTCAGATTAAAGGCACAGCACCTCCACTTGAGACATTAATACCAAGGCAACCGTGACAGATAGAGGCTGAGCCAGGGTTTGGTACCCATATTTAACAGGATTCCTTTGTGTGTGTCCAGAGCCAAGCAGATCATTATTTATTTAGTTGTTCCATGGCATGCGATATGCATTGTTGTGTTTGTTAACTAGATTGATGGGTATAGTAATAGCTAGAAGGTTGCAGATCCAGGTTATCAACTTACTATGTTGTCCGTTTATAAAAAAAAAAAAAACCACACATACACACAGTTGGCTGTTAAAAACATGAAAAAAAGGGTTTTGTTTTTTACAAATTTTATTTTAAGGATCAGGAGAATTTTAACACCTGTGTTACATGATTAGCCGAGTATTTATTTGCACCTCTAAATTTTCCTTATGATGGTTTTAAAGTAACATGAAATGCTTGAAATAATAAATTGAAACAATTCTCTGCATTGTTTGGAGTAACTTTATTCAGTGGGGGGTTTTAAATTTAGTTTTATTTTAATATATTAGATTTTTTTTGGCAGTTCCATTGAGCTTTCAAGAAGTGATCATTAGTTTAACTTGTGTTTCAATACCAAACATACAAACAATACAATAACGTTCTATTACTGACAAGCAAACCTCCCAAACAACAATGCTGCTTCTCATTTATTTGAATTATTCTGTTGTATTTGAAAGAGGTGCCTTTTTGCAAAATGTCTTATTTATTATAGTATGGTAGGATACTGAGATAAATGCAACAGAAATTTCAATATGCCAAGAAAGGCATTTTCAAATTGTATACATATGTTTAACTTTTTTCATGCCTCAAGGCTGTGCTGTTTCCTTTCAACATAAAGTATATTCTTGTATAAACCTCTGCAATATCAAATGTTAAATATCACCTCTATATGTTATGTCACCTAATTTGATCTCTGTTGGGCAGATTCCCTACTCCCATGTCTTATTATTGTAAATACACTCACTACACTCACTAGAGAATGAAATAGAAACATAATTGGTAGAAAAGAGACAACATTTGCATTTTCTTGGGATTAAGATACAGATTTCAGACCACAGTCTTTAGAGTACGGCTTACAGCTAGTGTCATTTGAATTCAGTGTCAATGCTTCAAATCAGTTACTCGGGGGGGGGAGTAGTCTTAAGTTCAGTTTTGGGTCTCCAAAAAGAGCTACAGACAGACTAATTGTAAGGTCATACTTATAATATTCTTCTGTGTACCACAACAGTATTTGTAGTCTCCCATATGTACTGTGTCATTTACATGTGAATTAAATAAGCCTGTTACAAACAATCCTCATACCCACTTCTGCAAATTAACTACTCAGTTCTCCAAACTTAAAACACTTGCGTTGATAGCTTAATTGCAGCCGTAATAGTTATTAACAATTAAAACATTCTCTGGATACTTGTAAACATTTGACAAGCAACAAAATGGTACAGCAGTTTATCTTCTGAATTAATAATATGAAGAGAGTAATTAGGGGGTTGATTCCTCTCACGACACAGTTACAATGACTTGACCAATTAGCAGTTGTTGTGACAGGTCTTCCAATGTTAATAACCTTAAATAATTTAGATTTTTCAAAATCATATATGCACATAAGGAGATTATGCTAATTAAATAATGTTATACAGTCAGTCTGTAACAAGAAGCTTGTAAGAAGAATGTATTTGATCAGCCCACTCAGTCTATCTACTTGCATGTTTTAAAGCACGTGTCGCTGTGTCTCATCCTGCTGCAGTGTCTTTGGTACAGCCTAAAACATATAACATGATATATTAACAAAAGCCAGTAAACTGAAAGCAGTTAAGGAAATACTAACTTTTATTTTTGCTATTTCCATTCAAATGACAACAACTGCATTTGGCAATAACTTCCTCCATATCAAGTTTACAAAAGTGTCTGTAAACATTAAAGTGCAAAGAATTTGCTTGCCATTTAGGGCACATATCTTTTAAAGGTTCATGCTACAAGCTCTCCAATCTAGTCTCATGTGAAGAATCCAGTCACTTACCTTTTAATTTCATCCACACAAATATACCCTACTAATATTTTTTTTTCAACAAGTAAAACAAAAATGCTATTCAATAAATTGTATGATGGTCCATGGTTTCAAATACAAACAAATAGGTGACAGAAAGGCAAAGGTAAAAAAAATTGGCTGTTTGTATAGTTAAGCCAGTCTTATGAACCCTGTGGCTGTTTGAACAAAGAACAGAATGATGTTTAAAGTTGATCATACAAATTAAAAGAAACAAAATAACAAGAAAATGCATTAGAAAACACTCCTTTTAACTGCTTGAAATTCAGAGAACACAGAACAGTGTCTTGGTTTGCAACACTGATCAGAATTAAAGTTTTTGTTCAGTATAGGCTTGAATGGCCCATTGCTGGTTTTAACTCATGTAACGTTCAGTGCATTAAGGACCTATTCAAAGTGAGAATTCCTGATGAAGAATGTGTCCAAGAACACATTAGACGCCCCTTTAGTGGGATGTTATAGTCTTTGTTGTGCTATATCTGGGCATTTCAAATTTCAAAAATCCATCAGTGACGAAAAGGGGAACTTGGACAGTATGGCAAAGGGCCTAAGAGTTCTTATTGTCATGTCTACTATTGACTTCTGAACGCATCAGTGTTAGCTGGAAGCTAAGGCTCAAGCTTGCTCTCGATTGGCTAAGATTGGATTTACACAGCGACAGAAAAATCCAATTTTTAAATCACGTGGTCCCCCTCATGAGATTGACCTGCCACATGAGTTCAGATATATGCCAAACAGGATGGCAGTAAAAAGAGAAAAGTCTTTTGTGTCTATGTATATGTAGCTTATGTATCAGGCATGCGCCCCAGAGGTGTGTCAGCTGGTCCCAGGAGCCGGTACTTGTCCTCCAGGGACGGCTCAGTGGCGCTGCCCTGCAGGTGGATCAGTGGCTTGGTCTGCAACAGCACACAACCCCTTCCCCGGACTCGCCTCTCCTCTTGGTTCCTGCGGTTGAAGATGTTTATTCTCTTGTCAAGCTCAGGGCTGGCCTTTTCTGAGCCAGTAGGGCTGGGAAGCTTAAGGTTGACAGGGTCTACTGCCAGGCCCTTTTGAGCAAGGCAGGAGTCCTCAGAGAGCGAGGAGAGTAGCTCCTGTACCACCATGCTGGGGTCCCTACATGGGTCCTGGCCTGAGAAGGTAGGGGGGCAGCAGCGGTGCGAGCTGTAGCTCAGACTGAGGTCCTGAGCTGTGCTGCTGCTGCAGTCTGTCATAGATGAACCCGGAGTGTGGCTACTCAGGCTGTGGGGGCGGGCCGTAAGGCTGCCACTGGACCGTGATATGCTGGTTGAGGCATCACTTACGGCGCTGCCCACCCGCTCCATAGCAAGCATCGGATTTGACTGGATGGGATGTGGATTGGTGGGGAGGTGAACGTCAATGGCTGCAGTGGTGATTATCCGGGCACCTAAGCCAGAAGCTCCAGCATCTTGGAGGACATTGTAAACATTTTAGAAAAAGTTTTACAAGACATATAAAACAAATTACACAATTTCTTCACACACCACAAGAGCATGACTTTCTGTCAGCCATATCTAGACAAAACTTTAAAACCTGTGAATGAATTATGCTGATGCCTGTGGTAAGGTTTGAAATATCTACTCAACAGATTTCCTATAACTTGTGACTGTAAATTTGAAGTGTTAAAGGTCCAGTGTGTAACATTTACAAAGATCATTAGAGAGAACTATGATTATGTAAGTATAATCAGTTCAATATAGGAATATGTTTTTATTACCTTAGAATGAACCTTTCATATCTACAGACACCTTCCATGGAATCTGCTATGTTGAACCACCATGTTTCTACAGTAGCCCAGAAGGGACAAACCAAACACTGGCTCTGAGACAGGGGC